CATCGAACGAAACTGCTCCAACTCCTCCTGTTCACGGTCGGCCGTTTGAGTGTCTGCATGCTCACCAATAACAAGCGTCCTCCAGAATGAATGGACCTGATCAACATGTAACGACGCCCTTTCTTCTGTAATAACGCGGTGAATGGTGCATGCGCAAGGTAATCCATGAGTTACTGAAATAGTACACCCACACCGAGCATACACTTCGTCAGCCAAGTCCCTCACCCTGTTCAGCTCAGTGAGAATCAACCCCAAGCAGTAGTGCGACACACGACCATGGAGAATCTTAAATATAAAATGGCTATACATCGTACCATGTCGTCGTCTGGAGTCCTCTAGAGAGTTCCTGATGTCGTTCTTCTGAGTTTCAATTGACTTGTTCATTCTAGCGAACAGTGTATCCAAAGCAGCGGTCGATGAATCAAACCAGTCCTTGGTAGCTCTATGAGCGCTCTCAACTCTACATGTTGTAGTGTTCCCAAAATGAAGTACCTGGTTTTTCCAATATTTGACAAACTTTTCCCTGTGAGGGACCCATTGATGCATCACATAGTCCACCAGTGCCGGACACCACTGGTACGAATCCCTGAAGTTAGCCAATGCTCGCTCATACGCTTCCTCTGTGGTAGCCTGTAGGATCTTCCGCCACTTACCATTCACCAATCTCTCTGCCATTTCCAAATTCTTCTTGAAAAGGTTGTAGGCTTTCACTTTCACGCAGTTGTTGATGTGCCATGTGCACAATAAGTGGTTCGATTCGGGAAACAGCTCTGCTATGGGGGCAAAGAGACCTCCCTCACAGTCGCTGACGATGGCTGCTGGATGAACATTAGGCCCGATGTAGTTTCTCAGCTTCTCCAACACCCAATAATAACTTGGAGCCGTCTCATCCTTGATGATTGCATGACCAATCAGAAAGTTCTGGTTCGTTGGAGCCATCCCAACCATCTCAACCAGTGGGAACTTGTACTTTTTTGTCTTGTACGTTGAGTCGATCAAAATCACAAATGGCCAAGACTTGATCATATCAGCACAATCAGGATGCACAAGGAAAAGATGAGTCACCTCCGTTGTATCTTCATCAGAATCAAACCAGAACAGGTAACCACGTGATTGTGCCTGGTGTAGCAGCTGCTGTATAGGGTTCCTTCCCTCTGACCGTTCAAACCTGAGTTGCTGTCTGACGTTGTAGATGTGTCTTCGGTTTGGATGGTCTTCTGGAAATTTCTCTAACACAGATGCTAATATTTTAGCAGGCTTCACTTGAGCATCACTCATTTCTTTCACAACTAGTTTCGCAGCAGGACTTAAGCCGCTCAGTTGTCGATGACCCTCTTCATATACTATCATCTCATGGTTGTGATACCCCCATTTAGAGTAACCAATCACTTCCCAACCGTCACGACTCCGTAGTTGTCGAACCTTTACTCTGAACTCACACCCACAACCTTTCCGCTTTGTATCAAACCGAGTGGCTGTACGAAAATCTCTTTCTTCTCTTTTGCGATAACGGTCACATCTCAAAATGCGATCCATTCTACCATCCCGTTGAGATTTATGAGTTACTACTACCAAGCAAAATCCAGCTGCAATTGCAACCTGTTTTGCCCAATCAATCGCCTGTTGAGCTTCTTCGAATGGACCATCATGTCCAAATATCCCACTGTAATCATTTCCGTCTCCACCATATTCCTGCATCAATTATATATTACAATAAATACATTTAACGGATAATACATTTAATTTCTATATTTACACAGAATTAACACAAAAAAAAAGCATAATTATATATAATCAAACTTAATTTTTATAAAAACCCAATTCGAATTTTCAAACTAAATTTAAAAATATACCATTTCGAATTTTCAAATTTAATTTTAAAAAAACCTATTTCGAATTTCAAATTTAATTTAAAAAAAACCCATTTCGAATTTTTTTAAAAAATCATTTTCGATTTTTTTTTTTAAAAAAATTAAATAAAAAACAACAACAAAATCAAAAAAGAAAAAAAAATAAATTAATTTATAAGGGTGGCGTCTGCCAGGGCTGCCACAGCCACTGGACTGGCGCCTGGCAGGGCCGCCTCACCCAGTGGAGTGGCGCCTGGCCAGGACGCCAGTCTGGTGGTCTGGGCGTCTGGGCTGGACGCCACTCTGGTGGTTCTGGCGTCTGGCTTGGACGTCCAGGCTACGGTTTGGGCGTCCATCCTAGGCGCCGGAGCCACTCCGACGGTAAACCGTGAATTTTAACGGTGACTTACCTCGTTTTCCGTCGACGACGACGTACCTCCGGCGTCCCCCGCATCTCCGGCCTGCCCTCCGGTCTCCCCCGGCGAGCCAGTACGGCTCCACATTTTTTACACCGAGATTATTTCAATTTTAGAAAATGGGCATAATGGTCAAACCATATCATATTTGTGGGCTTTATATGGTAAATTGCGGGCGATGTTTAGCGTTTCACATAGTTAAATATTCTTAACTTCGTATTACAATTTTTTTTTTCTTTTTTTTTTAATAAATGATGGCGTTGCCTCGGGACTATCGTTAAATATTCTTAATTTCGTATTACAGTTTTATTTTTCTTTTTCTTTTTTAATAAATGATGATCCTAAATACTTTTCTTATATATTTAGTTTAAGAAAATAATTTGAAAAAAAAAAATCTTGGCCTATATTTACTATATTTAAGAGGAATAAATAAGCAAAAGTATTAGATAGCAAAGATGGTATGACTTCTTATTCTAGTTCTAATGAACCCGGGTTCAATTATATGTGTGCATATTATTTTGTGGTACTTGCTTTTGTGTGCATATGAAGGGATGTTTATGGCGGGGCAATGCTATAAAACTAAAAGAATGATATGCTATATTGCTATTAGAACATTGGGCCTTTTTACAAGAACATGGACAGTGACTCATGTTCTTATTTGACAGGCCTCTTTGTGACTTTTAGTTAGTCGGATTATCACCAAAATTCGTGGAAAAGATGTGAAAGGTATAAGTTAATGGAGTCAAGCTTCAACAATGGACTTCATTATTGGGTTGGATGGGTTGAGTCAGGGTCATACGGGTTAAAGGATCATCTTTTATTGGATAGTATCGAGTCAGTTATGAACAGATCAATAAATAGCAAGGAAAAAAAAAGGTAAGTGTACGGTGAATACGAAATTATGACATGTGCCATAAAAACCATTTTAAAATCTTGACCCGAACAACACTCCAGTGGACTAAACTATCCTTAAGCGAATCTAATTAGTAGAAGTGGTCAATTATAGCGTACTCCCTCCGTTCTATATCTGTTGGAAATGTTTTGGGAGTAGGTACAGTGACAGTTATGATCATGTGTAAGGTGATTGATTGCATAGGACCTCTAAATAAAAGGATCCAAAATTTAATTTTTACTTATACGAAATAAAGAGAATACTAAATTGATCAGTATGTAATCTAATATTCAATTTAATCATAAAATTAATAATTTAGCAAAGCTATTTTAGGTAAGAGAATTCATATTTATGTCTTTACAAAAATAATTTTTGGATCCAAATTTTCAAAATTGCGCTAGGCCAATTTTACAATTAGCATTTATCTAGCGCCCTGAGTAGTTAAATAGGAATATTTGTTTATTTGTAAAAAAAAAAAAAAATTTTGAAGTAGATTTTGATAAATTAGAATAATTACATTAAAAATTTTAAAGCAAGCCTCGCATAGAATACAATTAATTTTAAGCCAATGAAAACATAACAATATAAAATAAACAAATAAGTACACAAGTCAAAGTTTTCACATAAGTCTTCATCAACTAACGTATTAAACGGGCTAACTAGCTAAGTGATTACTGTACTTATTAAATATCGACCGTACGCTTTATTATCAAGATTCCTACTCGTACTAACGTTGCTCAAACGTTAAGAAGGATAGTAAAATTTGTCGTCATTTTATGTTTCATACTTTCATATACTACGTACTATGACACTATCAGCCACATAAATAGCTTTAACGATGACTTGAGAGTCTACAAAAGATGTGGATGACTTTAAAAGTTTGAATAATCAATTAAATTATGTGTGATGTCCATTATTATACAAAGTAGTACTGATGAACAGATGAAGTGATGAATATTGAGTAACATCATAATGATCGGATTGTCAGGTCACTTGATTATAGACATTCATCAAGTTATTGACCCTTATATAGACGGCAAAATCACATAATTAATAACAAAATTAAGCATAATTTAATCTAATAACAAAGTTATAATTGCCTTATGTAAGCTTACAAGAAAATCATTTGACAAAGATTATTAAATTTATGTATATCCAATGAAATTAAAAGCAGAGGAAAAAAAGTGATAGGCTCAGCTTGAGGGCAAAACATGTGATATTGTCATCCCCACAAAAAAAAAAAAAAAAAAAAAAAAAAAAAAAAAATTGAAGTCACAAAAAAAACAAATGATGTAGATGTGATTTGATATTATATTTTGAGTATCACCCTTATGACTTTAATTTACTAAACTAATTGATCATTCACATCTCATCCCAAATTAATACTCCGTATATAATGATGTAATATTACGAAATATTTACCAATGACTCAATAAGGTCTTGATCTAATAATTAGAATTGGACAACTATATACGATACGTCACAAGTTCAAATCTCACACCCTGATAATAAATTGTAATTTGCTTGTGTCTCAGAAATAAAAACAATGTATTTGAGTTTCCTTTTTATTAGACTACCGTGCTTAAGCCCACTAGTTAAAATTGTCTAGTATCTTTCCTTAGTGACTCTTAAGGTCGTCAACTTCTTGCTGTGCAATAGTACCAATAATGCAGTATTGGACGGGCTAACATTTTTTCTTGTACACTTAATTTGTTAATCTTATTCCGCTCTTTAAATAGGACATAATCCTTTAATTCCGTAGCTATAAGTCCTATAACCCATTCTTACTTTAGTCTAAAAACCACCAAGTTTCTACAATTAACAATTTTTTTTTTAGTAGCCATGCAATACCTCTTAGGAATTGTTGTCACTCTACTCTGCCTGATCCTCAATCTGGTAGTCACTTCGTGTTATCCCACTTGTCGTAGCGATGAACGTTCTGCCTTGCTTGGCTTCTCAAATTCTATGTCAATTGACCCTACTGCCTCTTTTAGGTGCACTATCAGTAGAGCGAAAACAATGTCATGGAATAATAGCATCGACTGTTGTCAATGGGATGGGATCACTTGTGATTCATTAACCAGTCATGTTATTGGCCTTGACCTTGGCTGCTCCCAACTTAGTGGAAGTATAGAGTCGAATAGCACCCTCTTCCAACTTCATTATCTCAAATACCTTTCATTAAACAACAATGATTTTTCTGATTCCTTAATTCCTCCTAATTTTGGAGATTTCTCTCACTTATCCTTGCTTAACCTCTCTGAATCATATTTCCAAGGCAGGGTGCCTCACCAGATATCCAAACTACGAAAACTTGAATCACTTGACTTTTTTTGGAAATTTGGAGACTGATGATGATTATTGGCTTGAAATGCCTGATGCCAATAGTATCATTGAAAACTTAACATCCTTGTCATATCTTGATCTTGGTTCCGTCTTCATCAATTCAAATTTCCCCGCATCTTTGGTAAACTTGTCTTCCTTAATGTATTTAGACCTATCTAGATGTGGTTTACAGGGGAAATTTTCTTCTGACATTCTTGATTTTCCATACTTGCAAACACTTCATTTAGAGGGAAATAGCGACCTCGTCACAAAGTTAGGTAGTTGGAGCAGCCCTTTGATATACCTAGGACTTGATTATACAAAATTCTCCGGGCAATTGCCATACTCCATAAACCAAACTAGCCCAAGCTACTTGAATCTAAGGGGTTGTGGTGTTCATGGTCCTATACCACCATGGGTTTGGAATGTCACTAACCAAATCTCACTCTCAAATAATTTTCTCACTGGTGGTCTGCCTTCATCGCTAAACATTCATACGCTCTCTAATCTTTCCAGCCTCTACCTTAAACACAACATGCTTACCGGAACCATACCATCTTGGCCTTTCCAGCTTCCTTCATTAATAAACTTATGTCTCCAAATCAACCAATTTAGTGGTTCATTGAGTGATGTTTCTGGTAATGGTAGCAATTCCTTGCAACTACTTTCTTTAAGAAACAACAAGATTACTGGACAAATTCCCAAATCGTTTTTTAATCTCTCTACTCTCGCAAACCTTGACTTGTCGAGCAATAACTTTATTGGTAATGTCCATCTCAATATGTTTTCTGTGTTTGAAAATCTAGATACTCTTAGTTTATCTTTAAATAGTTTATCAGTGTCTACTAAGCTCAACTCCTCCACAATGTTGTCCAAATTATCATATTTGGGACTCTCTTCTTGCAATATTAGTGAATTTCCTTACTTGGGAAACCAAGAAAGACTCGAGATGTTATATCTTGACAATAACAAATCCGAGGTGAGCTTCCTAGATGGATAGTCAACATTAGTCATGCTGAACCTTATCCGTCTTTACGCTTACACCCTTTCTAATAATTATCTAACACATGGTCTAAAGTATCTCCCTTGGAAGAAATTGTTCTATGTCGACCTTTCATCCAATAAGTTACAAGAGCCTCTTCCGGTTTTGCCGACAAATCTATGGCTTCAGACATTAATTGTGTCAAACAACAGACTAAATGGCACCATTAATCCATCCTTTTGTAATTTGACTCTAATCACCATCATTGATTTATCAAACGACACTTTAATCGGAGAAATTCCTCATTGTTTGGTAAATAGTAACAGTAGGCTCATGGCTTTGAATCTTCAAATGAATAAACTCAATGGCATCATACCAACAAAATTCTCAGAGTGTGATTCATTGGAGTATCTAGACTTAAGTGACAATCAATCGGAAGGGGTGGTGCCAAATTCTCTGTCACGGTGTAAAAGCTTAAATGTTCTGTATCTCGGGAATAACAAGTTAGAGGGAACATTTCCATCATGGCTAGACAGCCTCCCGCGGCTGCAAGTTCTCAATCTACGCTACAATAACTTCCACGGTCCTCTAATTACTTCGACAAAGCATGATCAACTATTTCCAGAGCTGCAAATTCTCGACCTCTCAAATAACAACTTTTCTGGAAAATTGCCAGCAACATACATACAAAATTTCAGAGCCATGATGGAGATGAATGTGCCAACTCCTGGTCGTCCACAGTACATGAGATCCAATAACTTCTCGTACTGGTACTCGCCGTACTCGTACTCCATCACATTAACATTCAATGGGAATGTACAAAAATATGAAAAGATCATCACCACAATGGCAACTTTTGATATGTCGAAAAATAGCTTCGAGGGAGAGATTCCAGATTCCATAGGGCACTTGGTGTCATTGCGAGGCCTTAATCTTTCATATAACCGCCTTACTGGGCACATCCCTCCATCCATCGGGATGTTGTCCTTGCTTGACTGCTTGGACCTTTCGTCCAACATGCTCACTGGTCGTATCCCACAAGAACTTGTTAGTTTGACATTTCTTGGGGTCTTCAATGTTTCGCAAAACCTACTGGAGGGGCCTATACCTCAAGGGAAGAACTTTGGTACGTTCTCAGCTGATTCATACAGGTTGAATCCTGGCTTATGCGGACAGCCATTGCCTAAGTGTGGAGGAAGTGACACGCCAGTTTTTAACAACACCAGAGATGACCAGGATGATTCTAGAGATTATTGGAGCATATTGCCAGAGTGGGAAATCGTACTGATGGGCTTTAGCAGTGGTGTAGTAGTTGGCTTGGCTTGGGGATATTATATGTTGTCAGTGGGAAAACCCTTTTGGTTTATCAGATTAACTGACAAAATGGAATTGGCTTTGCTTGAATTTCGGTACAAGCGATTTGGTAGAGCGGGAAGAAGAGCGGGAGCAAGAGCAAGAACAGGAAGGAACTAAATTCAAGTGACATGTATGACTTTCCTCCATCTAGTTGCTGAAATTTCTCAAAGCGGAAAGCATCTAAGAAAATCAAGTATGTATACATTAGATTTATCTAAGTTGGATGGAATGTAATGGTTTATCATAAGCATAACTTTATTATCATCTAAAAATTTGCAGCAAAGAATTTTTTACAAGTCTTCATCATTTCAATTATAAGTTCCATTAAATTTTGTGCACAATGTTTTATAAATACAAAGTTTAATAAACTAAAAAAAGGAGTAACCTTTGAATTACCGAATCAACTTGAATCCTCTTGCTTGGTGTGTCAAGCAGCTTCAGCTCGGCTGCTGTTGTTAAGCTAAGATTCTGGTTATATAAGACTTGCCTTCTAGGGGCTGCTCGTCCTGTTCATGATTGATTACATCATAAATAAATTCCAAGTTGCAAGAACACACAGACATAATTACAGCAAAGTATATAACTTTTGTTTCATACATCAGTAGTGTAAACTCAGCACTACCTGGAATTTACATTCACATGTATCTTTTAGAATGTTCTGAATAATTTTTGTAACGATAAGAAAGAGTGTTACGTAGTAAGAACAGTGAATAGTTTTGAGCAAGCAAATGGCTATTTCCGCGTAATAATGAACAAGTGAGGATAGCTAGATAATATAGAACTTTGAAAACGAAATTCTATGATGTGTTGAATAACATGTCCTCAGAAAATTAGGATGTTAACAGCTAACTACTCTTTGAAATTAGTATAGAAATTTAAAAACGAAATATTATGATGTGTAGAAATACATTTCCTAAGAAAATTAAAATAATAACAGCTAACTACTCTTTGCATTTATGAATAAAAAATTGCAATTTCAGCTGAGACTCCATTGCATTTGATATTTGTTCCCTAATAAAATTTACCAAACCAGAAGCCATGTTTCCTATGCTTAAATGGTGTCTCTGCTTAATCTTATTTTTTAATTTGAACGCTAGAGTTGCGTATTCATCATCTTACCATAGATCTTTATCATCCGAGCAGTACCATGATGAAGAAAGAGTTGCATTGCTTGGCTTTAAAACTTCCTTCACCCTTGAGCCTGAATCCGATAATTGTCCAAATGCCAAATCAAAGACATCAACATGGAATAAAGATGGCAACTGTTGCGAATGGGAAGGTGTTGCATGTCATCCACGAACGCATCATGTCATTGGGCTTGATCTTAGTTGCAGCAAACTTAGTGGAAGCATTGACTCTAATAGTAGCCTCTTCCTCCTCAATCATCTCAAAAGCCTTAATCTAGCCTTTAATGATTTCAACGACTCCAGTATAACACCTCAATTTGGCAGGTTTCCACTGTTGGAACACCTTAACCTTTCCAGCTCCCGTTTTGCTGGGAAAATTCCTGCTCAGATCGCCCATCTTGCTCAACTAAACTCTCTTGATCTTACCAATAATTTTGTTGATCTAGAACTTCCAATATTCAAGAAAATTATTGACAACCTGACGGAGCTAAGGGAGCTTCATCTCAGCAATGTGAACATCAATTCAGCATTGCCACAGTCAATAGTGAACCTCACATCCTTAAGATCACTTAAGCTTCATGAAACCAATTTGCAAGGAGAATTGCCAATTAAAATTTTCAACTTACCACATCTGAGAGTACTTGATATTGGTAATAATTGGCCTCTTCAGTCAAGTATCTTAGAGATGTACAATTGGAGCAGCCCTTTCGAAGTCATGGATCTTACTGAAGTCACTTTCAGGGGAAAATTACCCTCCTCCCTTGGTCAATCTCATCATCTGAGGGAACTATCTTTCTCTGGCTGCTTCTTTGATGGGGAAATTCCAAAATGGGTGTGGAACACCACAGAGAAGATCGACTTACAGAATAATCATTTCAGAGGTAACCTCCCTTCTTCAATCAATACAAGCAAATTATCAAGTCTTTACTATCTAAATCTAGATTTCAATTTCCTCGAGGAAAGAATACCACCATGGATGTTCAGTCTACCATCCCTGAAAAGTTTAAGCCTCGTCACTAATCAATTCACTAGTCTGCCTAGTGAAGTTTTTAACAACAGTAAAGAGCCACAGTTACAAGAATTGGAATTGGAGGGTAACAAATTAGAAGGATCATTCCCACAATGGATTTCACAATTTGTACACCTTGAGCATTTCGATATCTCATCCAATAACTTGAGTGGCGTGGTGCAGCTAGATTTGTTGACTGGTCTCCACAAACTCCAGTTACTCAGCTTAACAGATAACAAACTCTCAGTGAATACAAGTATCACTGTCACAAACAATGGTTCAACCACTGCCTGGCCTAACCTAACTTTCCTAGGTCTCTCCTCTTGCAACACAGGTGAGTTTCCTGGTTTCCTAAAAGACCAGCTAAAACTTAAATCCTTATACTTGTCCAGAAACAACATTCATGGCGACGTACCCAAGTGGCTTCAAAACTTAGCAGAGATATCAAATATGGATCTTTCACATAACTCGCTTTCTGGAGGTTTAGAACATCTTCCTTGGGAGAGCTTACAGGACATTGACCTCTCCTTTAACACTCTAAAAGGACCACTTCCACTTCCAAAAGCATCTTCCACCATTATTTCATTTTCTGCTTCAGATAATAGTTTCACAGGCCCCATTGATGAATCAATTTGTAACCTGAAATACCTTAATCTCCTGGATGTATCAAGCAACAGATTGGAAGGAGAAATTCCTCGTTGTTTGGGAAACTTTAGCAATTCACTTGTTATATTGAATATGAGGTCGAACAGCTTCCATGGCACTCTACCTGCATACTGGGGAACATGTGATGGTGAGTATACATTGAAATATCTAGACTTTAGTGACAATCAATTGCAAGGGTTGCTACCACAAGATATGGCACGCTGTACAAGCCTAGAATTTCTTAGTGTTGCAAACAACAAATTTAATGATACATTTCCCTCATGGTTGGATACTCTCCCAAGCCTGAAAGTACTAGACTTACATTCAAATAGTTTCCGTGGTCATATCAAAGGCTCAAAGGTAGCACATCCATTTTCTCTGGTCCAGATTCTCGACCTCTCCAGTAATAAATTCAGCGGAAGATTGCCAGCAACATACATAAAAAATTTCAACGCAATGATTAATACCAGTGAGCCCTCTGGGGTTTTACAGTATATGGGAGGTATCGGTTACAAGTACTCAATTATGCTAGCATTCAAAGGTTTGCAGACTAAGTATGAGAAGATCATCACTACCCTTGTGGCTTTTGATCTTTCATCCAATGCATTTGAAGGAGAAATTCCCGATTGTATTGGTCAGTTGGTCTTGATTCGGGGCCTTAACCTCTCACACAACAGGCTCACAGGGCCAATCCCTCCAACAATCAGCAATTTGAAGTTGCTCGACTCCTTGGACCTTTCTTTCAACATGCTTATTGGGGAAATTCCTCAGGAATTGGTGAGTTTGACATTTATGGGAGTCTTCGATGTATCAATGAACAACCTAGTGGGTCCCATACCTCATGGAAACAATTTTGACACATTTCCAGCAGAATCATACATGGGTAATCCTGGATTATGTGGATTACCATTGCCAGATTGTGGAGAAGATAACAGGCCGAAGTTAGATCCTTCAGTTACCGAAACAAATGATGATGATGATATTGAAGATGGAGGCATGTTGTCAGAATGGAAAATCATCCTGATTGGATATGGTTTTGGTACGGTGGTGGGGATGGCTTGGGGATACTATATGTTATCAGTTGGAAAACCCTTTTGGCTAGCTAAATTAGCTCATAGGATGGAGCTGGCAACTATTCAATTTTCTGGGAAGCTATTTGGAAGACGAGCAAGAAGAGCAAGGAATTGAAGAGAATGATGAACTGATATATAAAGAGGTATGACTATTCATAATCATGAGTTTCCGATCTATTAAATTTACTTTCTAATGCAAGCAGAAGTATCATCATAATTTCAAACTATTTGTTAACTTAAGATTTTTAAAAGTAATGAAAATTTGATCATTTGCCATTACTGCAGGCTACAATACCTTGCCAACTGGAGAATGAGAGAAGCTATCCCAGGATGCATATGCTCGTATATTCATCGCTGCAAAAGATCATGTAATAGATTAGCTTAAACTATTGTATTTCCATATTATATACAAAGTACTCCATATAAAGTAAGGAAAAATAAAAGTCAGAGGGACCTTTTAGCCAGGGATTAACCAAACTTAAAGCTGAGCATGACCTTGTGTAACATTTAAAGCTTGTATAACTGTATGGTATAGGGTATACTATTACTTATGAAGGAAGAAATACCATAAATACGAGATATCGAAGGAAGAAATACCATGAAGGAAAGCTAATCCATAGAAGAATCAAGTACTAAATGCATGAACAAATTTAGTAACCATACAAATGCAGTAGGGGTTTCTTCTTTTTCAGAAAAAAGGTTTAACTACCAAGAGCATTAGTCGCATGAATATTGTTTTAACTTTGTAGCTCCAAATCAGTTTTGAGAGAAGAAAAAACAGAGCACATTGAAGTTTATGAAACCATACTAATGGTTATCTAGGCTTCAACTCAGTGAGCTCGTGTGCAATTTACCTTTGGAAAGCCTAACTATGGTTAATCTTTGTACTGCTGCACAGGTAGCATTGAGTGTGGCAGTAGTCAATTCTTCCTCTAGACCTCTACCATCACAAATGCTTTAACTTTGCTTCTGAGGACTATTTTTCTCACATAATTCTTCTAAGTTCAGTCAATTCTTAAATATCTATTTAATACGAAACAATCTTATTACAACTCTTACAAGCAACTTTGAAACTAGTTTAATAAGAACAAACTTTCTACCTAACATAAATTCCCTAATTCTTGGCTTGCCTTTGGGTCAAGGCTAGGCAAAACAACACAAGCCAAGGCAACAAAACCAAGTAATGCATCTTCAAACATGAAAACAAAGGGTGGGTCATGGCATCAATGATATGGTTTCGAGCACCAAATAGGTCTTCCGAGACCCTTAGAGAACCATGTGAAGCACCTTGATGCATAATCTTATCGGGTCCAAAAATATTTTCTAGAGGGCAAAAATTCCAGGTATATATATAATACACGAAATTAGACCATTTTCAAAGATTTCGACACTTAGCTACAGCTGCTCCAATAATAAAATTGGCACCCCGCGGCCTATTAAGAGCTAGGTATCGGGAATCCTTCATTAGATTGTCAATTATACCCAAATTCATTACTTACCATTCCTTCATTAGGTTATCAATCTTGTTCAAAGCAAATTAAAAAAAAAAAAGTTTTAAGGATAGCCTAACTCTCTGAACTAAATTCCCTCAGCTTTCGGTTGGAAACTTTATCATTTCACTTTATAGTTTATACAATGCACCATCATTTGAACATATCTAACAGACAAACCAGTTACAAGTCTTATGAATTCTAGTGATCTGTGTGTAACAAACAATCTCTTGAACAGATTGATGAACTTAAGAGCAGCAAGTCTACCTACATGATTATTCATTTCCCCCTGGATAAATTACTCTATAGTTTTAAACCAGTTTATATGGTTTTCTGACAGTAAAAACAATGACATAACTAGATAACGAGATCATTAGACTCTGATCAATATCAACCTAAGGCACAATGTCACTCAATTTAACATCAACTTGAGTGAGAACCAATTGCAAGGAATGGTACCACAGCAGCACAACCTATGGTAAAATCATAAGTTCTCAATCTAAAAGTGAACACTAAATGATACCGTAAATGTTTAACATCAATTAGATATGCTCTTCCAAACCTAAATATGTCAGTTCAGACTCAAACTACTTCTTTACCCATGGAAAACTCCAAATTCGAGTTCTTGAATTCTCTAAAATCAATATCAGCAGCAAATTTCCAACAAGAAGTACATTAAAACCCTGATCAACAAGGTCTAACCAATAAGTAACCACACAAAATCATAATTAGTCACATTAAAACTCTTACGAAATCGTCAAAACCTATCTATTCAAGCTCTCACCATTCAACAAACACTAATCAAATTACAATCCTTACAAAATCAACGAAATCCACCTATTAGAGTTCTTACCAATTCACATAAACTAGCTACACTAAAATGAGCAAAATCCTTACAAAATCGTCGGAATTAATTTTGCAACCGGCTGATGAGAACTATACCTCCAAGCAATCATCTCAACACATAGATTTTTTTTTTTTTTTTTTTTGGTACTTCTATAATTAAATAATAAAATCTCTATAACCTATATTATCCCATATAATTTCGGCAATGTTCAAGCAAATAAATTCGTATATTATTAACAAATTTATACCTTTTGCAAATTGCAACATTTTCAATGGATTAATATATTGATTAAATCAATTGCAATTAAAAAAAGCAAATGCGGATTATTTTATATACAAGTACATGTTAAATTGAACAAAAATATGAGAAAGATACGAATTTTAATTATGAGAGATATATTCATTCTTGTATATACAGTATAATTCAATAACAAAAAAGCAATAAAAAATTGAAGGTAAGAGATAGTATATACAGTACCTCTTTCATTTTCATGAAGGGGAGAAATCAGGCAAATTTTGAACACTGGTCTGCAGTCTGCTGTTGATATGGAGAAGACTTAAAAGAAGAATAAATCAACTTGTTCGTCGTTTTTTTTTTTTTCTATTTTTTCAAAATCTTTTTTTTTTTGTTTAATTTAAGAAAATTTGATAATTACCACCTTAATTTATTTTTTTTTAATATTACCACCTAATTTTTTCCAAAACTTTTTAAATTCCCACCTGTTTGACGAATGATGTCATTATGGGGCCCAATTTCGCGTTGTCCTTCTCTTTCCCTCTCTCCTCCCTCGAATTCTACGATAAATGGTGGTAATTATCAAATTTGCCTTCATTTTACATTAATTTTGCTTATGTCATCTAAACTTATATGAAAGGATTAGGAGAGTAATGTGATTTGATATGATATTAATTCGTGTTTTGCGCTAATTGTCTAAGGTAGGGGGTGTTAGTCACTTAATCGAGTTGATCAGCTCGTGGGCAACTTGACTCGGTAAAAACTCAACTCAAGATATTAATGAGCATGAGTTGAGCAAGCTCTAACTTAGCGCTGTTTATCGGTCAAGACCGGACCGATTAAAACACGGACCAGACCGCTTTGGACCGGTTTAAGAATTTTTTTAAAAAGAATACTAATTTTTTTAATAAAGTTATGGAAAATACAAAAAAAAGTAAAGGAAAAACTATATTTTTGCGTTTTTTTTTTGTATGTTTAGTACAAAAAAACTTATAGAATTAAAGTTTTCTAAGCTTATTAAGGATAATTTTAACTATTATTTAAGGTTTCATACATATTTTTAATAAAAAAAAGGTCCGGTTCAAGATCGGTTTTTATAGGGTTTTGGTTCGGACTAGGGGTGAGCAAAAATTTTGGGTACCCGGAATTGAAATTGGAACCGGTTAGGCACTGGCGGGTCCGAATCTAGAATTAGACCCGGTAGTTCCAATTCTGGGCAATAAATTTAGGAACTGGTTGCAACCGGTTCCAATTCCAAATCCCAATTTTTTTGACCCGGAACCGATTGGGTACCCGGTTACCCAATATATATTAAACTAAATATATTTTTGTCTTAAAAAAAATATGTTAAATGTATCTAATTAGTAAAATAAATAAAAAAAAACATATTATTAATATCTAACCTAAATAAAATAGTTTCACGCTATCATGCATATATAAATATAAGTATTAAACGCTAAAAATGAAAATGGATCAAAATAAGTATTAAATTTGTATTAAAATTTAATAATTATGTACATAAGTGGGTACCCGGAACAGACACGATACCCGGCGGTTTCAATTCCAATTCCTACAGTTTAGGACCCGGTTGAGGTAGTTCCAATTCCAATTCCAAATTTTAGGACCCGGTACCAACCAATTCCGGGTCCGGTTCCTAAAAATTTGACCGGGTACGCGGTTTGCTCACCCCTAGTTCGGACCGGACCGGAGACCGGAAAAATGAATTTCAAGACCCGAAAACTAGCGGGGTGGTCCGGTCCATTTTTTCGGTCCGGACCAATTTATGAACACCCCTACTCTAACTCGACTCAATATGCAAGCTCGTGAGCAACTCGATAATATTTTTTATCAAACAAATTTACCATGTTTAAACAAACTAGTCGTTGGAGCACGCGCCCGCGTGCCCCCCCCCCCCCCGACGGCAAGATAAGCAAAATTCGTGGATGTGTTCGGTTGTTGTGATATTCGTGGTTGTGTTCGGGTTTTGTAATAGCAAGGATGCATGAATTTATAAGTACTGAGAAGGAGTAGTGATAAAGTTTCTATGGGGAAATATCTATGGAAAAACAATTGTTATAAGTGAAGTTATCTAGAATTTGATAATTTAAAGATTCTTAAAAAAAATATATTATTGTTTTAGACATTATTGTAGAACGCAAAATAGTTTCCTATTGAGGAGTACTGATGTGAATCGAGTCCCCTTCCTTATAACTATTTTTATTGCTTTATTTAGGTACTCTCTTGGTTTTACCTTACTCTTAAAGTAGGGGTTTTACAAGTGAGTTTTTAATAATGTTTTTATTATTTTCTTAGTAGTAGTTATGGGGCCTTGGGCTTCCAAAGTTGTGTTAATTAATTAGTGGGCTCTCTTGGTTCATTAATTAATTATTAGGGCTTTTTATTTAGTTTGCTTGCAGGGCAAGTAGGATAGATTTATTTTTCCTATATATACTAGTTGTATGTCAATTATTTTAACAGGATGTTTTATGAATTATAATTTGAGATTATTGAGCTTTTGCTTGAAGAGAACTTTGTTAAGGTTCAAACTAGTTGTTAACTAGGGTTTTGGGATCGTTACTCCTAAAATCAAACTTAGAAGTCGTTGCCTTCTAAGACTATCTTTCAAATTTCCACCATTAAAATCACTCAAATCCTTCCATCAAATATAAACCGTCAAAATACACATCAAATTGGTATCAAGAGCTTAGGTTTGTGAGCCCTCACGACTTACATGATCTTGGTAATTAGAACAATTTTTGGTTGCTTTTCAAGTATTACGGGTGATTTGCAATTAGATTACGGTAGTGTACTTTGTCTTCGAATCTGGAAGTAAGCATTACGTAGTACTA